AGGCTTTAAATGGATAAAGGGGGCACAGAAGATTTGAGGAGCAGGGAATGGTGTGGCCACTGGAAATGTTTTCTTGGAATTCTTTTGGCTTTCTTGGTTTGGAGAGGAAGGACTGAGCTGTTCCTGGGGCAGGTACTGGATCTTCTGGGTGGCTGAACTGGGTTGAACTGGGATTACAGGTTTTAAATGGATAAAGGGGGCACGGAGGATTTGAGGAACAGGGAAGTGAGGAGCCACCCAGAATTCTGTGCCAAATTTTGGGATCCTCGTGGGTAAAGGGACATGGAGGAGCTGGTGTGAGTCTGGGAAGGGTCTGGAGTGCCAGGAGGGGCTGAGGGAGCTGGGAAAGGGAGAAAAAGGGGATCAGGGGGGATTTGGGGCTCTGCACAACTCTCTGACAGGAGCGAGCAGCCGGGGGCGATTTGGAATCTGATCCCACGAACAGGGACAGGAGGAGAGGGAACGGCCTCATTATGAAATCAGCAGGAATTTCCCCATGGAAAGGGTTAAATATTGTCCCAGGGAGGTTTGGAGTCCCCATCCCTGGAGGTGTCTGAGGAAGGACTGAACTGGTGGCACCGGTGGCACAACTTGGGCTCGATGATCCCCGAGGTCTTTTCCAGCCTCRGTGATTCTGATTCAGTGTTTACAGCACAAATCGGACGAGGTTGTAGGGCTGATCTCAACCTGTCACTCGGGACATTTAGGAAATATTCCAGACACCTTGATGTGTTTTTCACTTGGAGGGACAGGCTATGAGCAGTGAAATATCCTGTTTACCAAGCCAGGGCCGTGTTAAATCTACGTTTTCAAGAGATGCCTTGAGATGGAAATCACCTTTCCCAGTACGATTTTTACATTTCAAAGGGATAATATAAAAAGCATCTGAGAAAATGTAAATACAAAAAAAAAAAAATGCTGTGAACGGGGAAAGGTCAGCTGAACGCAGATTGTTGTAGCTGTGTGTAATCCTCCTGGTGACATCTGTTCCCTGCTGTTGTTATAAAAATGTTCCTTCATTAGATTGTGGTTGGATCATGAGTGTTGCAGTTTCCAAACCTGGACTTTCCCCTTCCTCCTGTATTCAATGAGATCTGAGCAGGCAAAAGAATTTTGCTGCTACTTTTTAGGCTTTTTGATTGTTCCCCCACCCCATCTGTAGAGAAATTTTCAATATTTCCAGAAATAAGAGCAGAAAATCCCATCCTGAACAGAGACGAAAAAAGCTTTGTGAAAACTTTTTTTTGCTTAGGTGGTTTGGGGTGGGATGAGCCTGGCAGGATGCACTTGTTGGGATCTGGGAGCCCCACGGGGCATGGGACCACCAGGGAATGGGGGTCAGAGCCTTCCTGCTCCTTAGCCTGGCTGAAATCCCTGCTGAGGGTGAGAGGATGTGATTTCAGCACTGCTGGAGCCCTGGAGCAAATGCTGGCTGTGTCACACCCAGCTGTCTGCAGCTCCCAGAGCTCTCTGGTGACAGCCCAGCCTGGCCCCTGCCGCTGCTGGGCACAGCCGGGCATGGCTGAGTTGTTCGGGGTGAAAATCAATGCCCTGCTTCCCCCTGGGGAAGTTTGGGGAGAGGCAGAAGGGGTTGAGCATCTGTCTGGCACAGCGGGCTGGAGGGGCTGTGGCTGCACGGTCCATCCTGGAGATCCTGGAGGGGCTCAGGGAAACCACAGGGAGCTCCTGGGGCAGCTCCTGGTTCAGAACAGAGCACCAATTCCTCCTTTCTGAGCTCCTCTTTCAGAACAGAGCACCAATTCCTGTTTGGAATTGGTTCAGCTCCTGGTTCAGCTCCTGGTTCAGCTCCTGGTTCAGCGCAGAGCAGCAATTCCTCCTTTCTGAGCTCCTCTCTCAGTATTGAGCACCAATTCCTCCATTCCCAGCTCCTCTCTCAGCAAGGAACACCAATTCCTGCTCCTTTCCCAGCTCCTTTCTCAGCACAGAGCACCAATTCCTCTTTTTCCAGCTCCTCTCTAGGCAGAGAGCACCAATTCCTGTTCCTTGTGCAGCTCCTCTTTCAGCAGAGAACACCAATTCCTGCTCCTTTCCCAGTTCCTCTCTCAGCACAAAACACCAATTCCTCCTTTCTGAGTTTTTCTCTCAGCACAGAACACCAATTCCTCCATTCCCAGCTCCTTTCTCAGCACAGAACACCAATTCCTGCTCCCATCTCCCCATCCTGCTCCTGTTTCCTCATCCCAGCATTCTGGAAAATCCCCGAGGTGAGGATAACCTGCAGGGCATCACTGAAATCCGATTTTCTCAGAAAGCACCATCCCTYCCCCTTGCATTTCTCTGCCTACCAATCACACTTTTAATTTTTTTTTCTGCTTCCTGCTGTTAAATCATTGACTTTGGAATCTGTGTCTGATGGAGATTTCCAGTGGAAGTCACTTGTTGATTATTACCAAAGGGATAAACCCTCCTGGTTTGGTGCCTCTGGAGCSTGTGGGGTTTTTGTTAATTGTAGGGAAAATCTGGGTAAACGGGATAAAAAGTGAATTATTATGATATAAAGGATGTTTTGCTGTCAGGATTGGAACGTGAGATGCTCTTCCTGAGGAAAGCTCAGCCTCTGGCTGGCTTTACTCAGCTCTCAGTGCCTGGGAAATCCTGAGCAGGCACTGCAGATCCATCCAGGTGCTCCTGGCTCCCTCTGCGATATTTCCCTCATAATTCACACAGAAGCAGCCCAGACCGGAGCCATTTATCACGGAGGGGAAGATGGAAGTGATTCTTGAGGGCAACAAAGTTCAAAGACTTTGCTGTAWGTCTTCAGGATTAAAGATTTACTTGATGCATCGTCCCTTGTTGAATAGACAGGAAGACATGAAAAGGAATTTCTATAAAGATTTTTGTTCATAGTTAATGATGCCGYTATTAGATGAGCTTTGGCATACTGTCCCGAGCCATGAAGCTTTAAAACCAATCTTTTTTAAACATTAAATGACCTTTTTTTTTCATCCTCCAGCTTTAATAAATAAAGATTAGTTCAGCCTCATTACTGACTCAGTCCTGGGGGCTGGTTTAATATTTAGTTAAAGTAACTAGTCTCCCCAAATGAGTTCATTTTGGTGCTTTCCTATCCCAAATCCCACGGGGAGAGAGGAAACTCTGATGGAGTTGGATCTGGGTTTTGGGGATGCTACTGACACTTCCATTCAGGATCCTGGTTCTCCATCTGAATTCCTTTATTTTCCAAAATCTGAAYTCCTTTATTTTCCAAAAYCTGAATTCCTTTCTTTTCCAAAACCTGCACTTTCCCCTCCCTCTTGTATTTGCTCCCATAGCTTCAGTTCAATGAGAGCTGAGCAGGCAAAAAAAAAATTTGCTGTTGTTATTTTTAAGGGATTTTTTTTTTTGTTTTCCCCTCCCCTCATCTGTAGAAAAGTTTTCAATATTTCCAAAAATAAGAATAAAAAATCCCATCCTGAACAGAGACAAAAAAAAAAAAAAGCTTTGTGCAAACTTTTTTTTTTTTGCTTAGGTAGCTTGAGGAAACTGTTCAAAGTGCTTTGGTTTTGACTATTTTTATATTTAAAATGCATTTAACTGTGCATTAGTGGAAGTGGATTTTGTTTGAAAGCTGCCAATTAGGAGCAGACTCGAAAACATTCCCCAATTTAGGGATTTGGAAGGTTTAAATTAGAAACTAATGAATGTGAGAACGCTGACATCCACTCCCCCACCGCTGATCTTTAATTTCACAGCATCAGCACCTGAGCAGAAGCTGAGTTTGATGATGTTCATCATTCTCAGAATGTGGATTTACCTTTCCCTGGAGCAGGGCTGGAGGGAAAAGTTTCTAYGAGAACTTTCTGCTCTGCTTCTCTCCTGGAAAAGTGGAGTTTGTGGCAAATTATTCTTCCGGCTTTGTTGTAATTAAAAGCAGTCACCAGCCATATTAATATCTCTAAAAACCCGCTCCTGGCCTTAGAGGGGAGCACAACTCTTTTTCTTGCATAATGAGGTTAAGATGAACTCAATTTAACTCCCATAAAAGTGGAAAAAGACAGGGAAAGAAGGAATTATTGAGTAYTCTCAGGATATGAAGTAAATCAGGCAAATCTGGAGCACTTTTGGGCTTCCTGCTGGGGTTAGGGCAGGGCTGGGGCATTGAGATGCTCCTGAGTTTTGACAGGAGGGAAAAACCCACTGGGATGAGCTGGGAGAAGAGCTCTGAGGTGTGGTGAGAGCTGAGGGTTGGAATTGAGATGGGATTTGAGGGTTTTTTGGGACAGTCTCAGGGGCAGGAGAGCCAAAGAAAAAGGAACCTGGACCCCAGACTGGGATCCCATGGGAAAATTACTCCACCAACACCAGATTTGTGTCCAAAAAGGAGACAGAGGAGCCCTGAGACTTTATTCAAATAAAGGGAGACACCATGGGACATTTCCATGGGGTCTCTCCAATTGTGCCAGCTCCTCWTGAAATTCTGGGATGAATATCCCACTCCCAGCTCCTTTTTGTCTTCCCTGAAGAAAACAAAAACTCTGCCCTTCCCCACCTCCGTGTGCCCAGCACAGCCCTGAGTGGGCAGCCCCGGGAGCGGGTTCAGGAATTGAGCGCTTTCTGTTTGAAAAATATTTGTCCCTCCCCACCCACAGCTACCCATGCACTCCCTGAAATATTCCAGCTCCCAGCTCTGTACTGCAAAGGGGCCATTCGGGGGTTTTTGGGGCCGTTCTGCCTTTGCTGGGTGTGGGTTTTTGGGGTCRGCTGGCACCGGGGAGCACCCAGTGGGTGCTGTGAGCCCGGGGTGGCCGTGCTGTGCCATCCCAGCAGGTGAAGCAGAGGCTGCTGCAGGGATCCCACCACCCACATGTCTGGCAGGACCTGGAGAGTGGGAGAAGTGCTGGGAAAGGCCACGAGTGGGAAGGAGAATGCGCCGGTTCCGGCGGCGATGGGAGCGCAAAAACGGGGATTGGGGAGCATGGGGGGGCAGGGTGTGGAGATCCCAACCCTAACCACTGCCAATCTCTTTATTTCCCCCTCAGCTGCCATCCTGGATGACCCCATGGARTGCAGCAGAGGGGAGAGGCTCTCCATCACCCTGGCCAAGAACCGCATCAATCGTGCTCCCGAGCGGGCGGGCAAGGCCAGGGTGGAGGTGGACATCTTCGAGCTGCTGCGGGACAGCGAGTACGAGACGGCTGAGACCAGTGAGTACCACCCCGAGAGCCCAGCCCTGCTCCCTGCCAGCTCAGTTTGGGATTATTTAGAGGAAATCCATCCCTCTGCTCCTTGTGAGAGCAGTTTCTTAGAGTTGAAACAAAATGCAGAGGGCTGAGAGGATCCCTGTTCCCTGCCAGCTCCTGGCACGCTGAATTTGGGATTATTTTGGGGAAATCCATCCCTCTGCTCCTTGTGAGAGCAGTTTCATTCGAGGTGAAAAAAACCGCGGAGGGCTGAGAGGATCCTTTCTCCCTGCCAGCTCCTGGCACGCTCAGTTTGGGATTATTTAGGGGAAATCCATCCCTCTGATCCTTGTGAGAGAGATTTTCATTCAAGGTGAAACAAAATGCAGAGGGCTGAGAGGATCCCTGTTCCCTGACAGCTTCTAGCACGCTGAATTTGGGATTATTTAGGGGGAAATCCATCCCTCTGATCCTTGTAGAGCAGTTTCATTTGAGGTGAAACAAAATGCAGAGGGCTGAGAGGATCCCTGCTCCCTGCCAGCTCATGGCATGATGAATTTGGGATTACTTCGGGGAAATGCATCCCTCTGCTCCTTGTGAGAGCAGTTTCATTCGAGGTGAAACAAAACGAAGAGGGCTGAGAGGATCCTTTCTCCCTGCCAGCTCCTGGCACGCTGAATTTGGGATTATTTAGAGGAAATCCATCCCTCTGCTCCTTGTGAGAGCAGTTTCATTCGAGGTGAAACAAAACACGGAGGGCTGAGAGGATCCCTGCTCCCTGCCAGCTACTAGCACGCTCAGTTTGGGATTATTTAGGGGAAATCCATTCCTCTGCTCCTTGTGAGAGCAGTTTCATTCGAGGTGAAACAAAACGTGGAGGGCTGAGAGGATCCCTGTTCCCTGACAGCTTCTAGCACGCTGAATTTGGGATTATTTAGGGGGAAATCCATTCCTCTGCTCCTTGTGAGAGCAGTTTCATTCGAGGTGAAAAAAAACGCGGAGGGCTGAGAGGATCCCTGCTCCCTGCCAGCTCCTGGCACGCTGAGTTTGGGATTATTTTGGGGGAAATCCATCCCTCTGCTCCTTGTGAGAGCAGATTTCATTAGAGTTGAAACAAAACGCTGAGGGTTGAGAGGATCCCTGCCTCCTGCCAGCTTTGCCACCACTCAGGGGTTTGGGACAAATAATTCCCTTTAATCTGCACGTCAATAAACAGGGGAAACGCTGATCCTGTGTCAAGCACTTAATGGTGAGC